TGCAGCCATTAAGGAGCTGAGAGCTGCCAACAACCACAAGAGCTAGAAGGCTCGGATGCGTTCACAGGTCTGGTAGAGACCTGATTGTTGCCTGAGACTCGGCTAAACCGTGTCCTGATCCTGACCCGCGAAAAATGAGACAATAAATGGAGGTTGTTTTAAGCTGCTAAGTTTGTGGCGATACTGTTATGGAGCAACGGATCATTAATACAATCGAAATGTCCAACGACTGATGAAGAGATCCACGAATGGTGGTACATTTATACAACGGAATACTACTCACTAATAAAAAGCAATGAATTAAGGACACAGCAATGTAAGTTTCACAAACATTATTCTGAGCAAAAGAAGTGAGACACAAAAAAATACATACATTACGAATTTGTTCACAGGAAATTCTAGGAAAGACAAATAGCAATAGAAAGCAGTTCAGATTTCCTGAGGCCAAAGGCTGGGACTTCCTGGAAAGCTGCGAAGGGAACAGTTAGGAATACTGGAATTGTTCTGATCTTGATTCTTGGTTACACATGTATATGTATTTGTCAAAACTCATTAAACTGACCACTACACACTGCTGGAATTCTACAGTAAAGTTTTTGGCCACAAGAACTTGGTGACTAAATAAGATATCAAATCTAAGGTATTAAAAATATTAGCAAACTTGCAAAGAAAGTGGCTAGTTTAAAAAAGGTTATCTTTACAATGGAGAAACCTGATGGACACCACCTTAACTAAGCAGTCAAATTTATCCTCAATAATGGGACGAACTGCTATCACATGCCTGTATGATTCACCGAGAAGAACACAACACCTACAGAGCATTCTCACAAAAAATGTTTAACCTGGCTCTAAAAAATGTGAAGAAACAAATCCGACAAACCCAGATAGCAGAACACTACAAAACAAAAGCCCTGACTCTCCTAAATGCCACCATCATGAAAAACAAAAAGGCAGATGAACTCACCAGAAACACATGCATATGTCTCAAAAAGACATGTTTTCACAGCAGCACTAACTGTAATAACCAAAAGGTGAAACAACCTAAATGTCCATTAAGAGCAGAACGGTTAATAACAAATGGATGACAAATATGTTCACACTGTGTAATAACTATGGATAGCAGCAATAACGAACTATAACTGTTCACAACATAGATGAATCTCAGAAGTATAACGCTGAGTGACAGAAGCCAGACACGCTTTATGATTCTGTTTATATGAAGCTCAAAAACAGACAAAATTAACCTGTCAGAATGGGGGCGACCTCTGGGGACTGGATAGTGATGGGAGGGGCACCACTGGGGCTTCTGAGGTCCTGGTCATGTGTGATTTCTTGGTCTAGGTACTGGCTACACAAATATGTTCACTTTGTGAAAATTTACCAAGCTGGGCACATAATTTGTGTAGTTCCTGGGTATATGATAAACTTCAGTAACAGTTAAAAATATATAAAGGCTAGAGAGAATCATTCTAGCTGAAAGCCGACTAAAGAGATGAATGAATCAATGCAATCTGTTTCTTGATTGAATCCTGACTCTTTTAATTGAGAAAATCTGAATGTGAACTGTATTACTAAATATTATTTTATCTATACTAAATATCTTGTGTGATAGTGATACTGTGCTTGTGCAGGAAAATAACCTCATTCTTCCAAGAGACAAGGTGAAGTATTCTACGATGAAATATTGTGATGTCTGTAACTTATTATCAAATCCTTTAAAAAACAAAGTTAAAGAGACAGATAAAGCAAATTCAGGAAAATGTAAACGGTGGAGGTTGGTGAAGTTTTTATGCAAATTTTACAGTTCTCTGTATTATTCTTTCGACTTTCCTACAGGTTGAAAAATTTTCATAATAAAAAGTTGAGGGAGAAGACACCTTGTTTGAACTGCTGTCATTCAAGACTTCTCGGACTTCCAAAACTGCATGCAGAGACTTGGAGAAGGAAACTTAACACTGAGCACTTACTATTACCAGGTGCTCTTTATATCTGTGATTTAAATCAGCCCTCAGAGCAACCCTACAGGGTGACTGTTATTACTCCCATTTTACAGAGCAGAGAGCTGATGCTGAGAGGTGGAGCGACAAGGCCAGTAGTTAGAGAGTGCTGGAGTTCAAAGCCTGTCAGATACGAGGCCCCGCTCCTCCACTCCAAAAGTCTTCACTGTGCTTTTCTGCCCTCCCTGCTTGTGTTGTCTGGATCCAAAATTTGCTGCATCCAGTGAACCGCAACAGGTTTGACATCTACGTTCTATGATAATGCTCGATATTCAATAACTGTTAGACAAGCAGATTGAACCACGCTCTCTGCTCTTCACTGAGGACAGAAAAGCTGGTGGGGAAGTATGGAAATAGCGATGACATCGCCTCTTCCCATGGACCATTAACATGTACAGACTAGAAGGGACTTTGATCAGAGATTAGCCATGCAAAGCAGAGCAATGTGGGGAAAACAGAACTAGGATATGAAGCAACAGACTGTCTTGAAGACAGAATAAAAAGACTATGCCATTTATGAAAAAAAGTAAGTCTGTCATTGAAATCTAAAAGTCACAAAGGACAGCTAGGATAAACAACAGCATTCGGGGCGTTCCTTTAAATTTCAAGGAAATTACTTCAGAACAAATAAAAGAACCACTTTAGTGGACTGGAGGTCAACATAAAAAGTCATACCCCAAAAGACTTTATAATAGGACCTGAAGAAAGATTTCGATCATTTGTGAATGAAAATGTAGTTTATTGAATGGACTGACAATAATAGAGACGACACTACGTCAGGCACTATTCTAAAATAAATCATTTAATCCTCAGGGCAACCCCATGAGATAGGCACTAGTTTTATTCCTTATTTACAGATGGAGGCTCTAAGGCCAAATAAGTGAAGTAATTTATCCAAGATGATCACGCAGCTGGTAATGGTGGGGCTCAGATTCTAAGCCAGTGAAAATGGCTTCAGAGTGCATGCATCTAACCACTGTTCTACACTGTCCGTTAAAGAAAGGGTTGGTTTATTCACCCTTAATCTTTCGAAATGAGATACTGATGCCACGAGGCCAGCTAATAAACTCCCTATGAGAGAATGCTGGCTCAGCCCCACAGGTGCAATGCAGCTCTCCTCTCAAACAAACCAAGTTGCGGGGAATTCTCCAAACAGTCCCTTCCATCCCATTCCGCTCTGACTGGAGAAACAGGAAACTAGGTTGATCAGGACTTGTAAATGAAATGGTGAGTAACTGGTAAAAAGAGCTGGTTCCTTTAAAAAGTATACATTAGCAACTTATTGTTAGAGAGTGACAGAATTTGGCATAAAGAGTTCAAGTTTTTCTCCAGGCTGCCAGCACATTCTGGTGCAATCCCATCTCTACCAGCTTTGGAAAGGAGGGCAAAGGAGCAGCAGAGCTTTTAACTCCCAAAAAGGGGCTGGCCAAGGACCTGAGATCCTTCCCACATGTACGGAGAGGACAATTTCCAGAACCAAAGAAATCCTTGGGTACTACAATGACTCCAAGTGCCAAGATTTTCAGTAATACAGCCCTGGCAAATCAGATGTCCCAGAAGCATGAGGGACTGAAGGCACGCTTCAATCCCAGCCCACGGGCTTTCCTAGCGTGTAACAGTTCAGAGAAGACTGGATTCTGAGGAGCTTCAGCATTCCAACAAGCTAAGTGGGGTAAGGCAAAAAAGCAGGGCCTCTCCTCTCGGGACATCCCCACACTCCAGAATTTCCGATAGCAAGAAGGCCAGAATCGGCCCTAATTATCTCCCATGTTTTACAACCCAGACATCTTTCTGAATCACTCACTCCGCTAACGAAAGCTGGTCTGGGGAACATACAACTCCTCTAAGTGCAAGTCCTATAGTAAATGTACCATGAAGAATAAAACAGTAGGAAACACTAAGCAGTGTTTTCCATAGAAGTAAAAGAACACAATGGGCTGCTAAAAAGTCCACAGGTGTTTCAAGGAGGTGAGAGATAAGTGAGAGGTCCAAGTGGAAACCATTTTCTTCTTCCTGTCTAATCCTAACTCACGTGAAACATGTCTGGCTGACTACTGGAATCACACACACCGGGCTTAAATCCTGGCTCAAGCAGATACTCAATCAAGGGCATGTTACACAGTCTCTTAGGATCTGCAAAATGGTGGTTAACAGCCTGTACTCCATGAAGGTTGTAATGAGCAGTAAACGAGATAATAAACGTAATTTGTCCTCGGCTTGCCCCCATCCTCACCCCAGCTCACTTCACCATTGAATCGCCAACGGCTTCAGAGGCCTTATCATCCACCGCTTCCGGACGGCAGACGTACAGGCATGGGCACTGGTCCGCGAAGTCCCCTTACTGGGGTGGGATTTGGCTGAATCTGTGGCTGAAAAGCTAGATCACAGCCTTTGGCCGAGACAACCAAACTCTGGGAAGCAAGGACAGATCCTCAGCCGAAAGCTTGGTGGCGTCTGTTGTTTACAGAGAGTCCCTTTCCTACAACTGGGAAGGTCCGAGTACATTTCCGACCCTCCAACTTGGCAAGGGAAGCGCAAAGGTGACTAACGACGAAGAGGCCGGCAGCGGGGCCACCCCAGGGAGCCGGGGCTGTGGGGGAGTGGGAACCCTGACGGAGTCGGGGCCCTCCCCGGAGGAACAGCCCAGAACGACCGAGCCTCCCACTCCTCAAGCAGGGGCCCTCACAGCTTACGGCAGGGGGCTCCTCAAGGGAGCCCCGCCAACATCCCAGCCAAGCTCAAGAGAGACCCCACAGGCCGGCAGGCGGAAAGTGGGGACCTGAGGGCGCCCGGAGCCCGGTTCCGGAGTGTGGGCAAAGAGGGGTCACCCGGGGAGGGGCCGGCGGCGAGGACCAGGGGAGGGGCGGGGCCCGGAGCGGGGCAAGAAGTCGAGGCTCCCGGCTTCGGAGGCTCCGGGTTCCTACCCGACTCCTGGCTGCACGCCGAGCGCCCTCTCCAGCTGGGGTCTCTGTCACCGCGGCAGGGTAGTCCCACTCCCCTTACCTGGCTCGGCTGCTCTGCCTGCTCTGAGGACGCCATCTTTCTGAGGCCTGACTAATCTATCGCCGCTGGGCGAGGCTTCTCCCAGGTGCCCTCGCTCTCGCTCTCCCATCCAGGCTAAAGTAGCCGGTGCCGAACCTGTCGATGGCCAGCACAGGGATACTCCGGGAAGAAGCGGGCAGGCAGTCCCACGTTCGGGTCACCGCTCACAATTTCCATTAGGTCTCTGCTTTCCAGAAAGATCCGAGGTCGCTCCTTTTTGCATCCTTGTACGTGTATTATTCTTATTGAATTAAAGTTCTGCCCAATCCTACATTGCCTTGGGCACATACATGTAGGGAGGGACTTGGACACAGGTAGCGTGGGACCCGCCAAATATTTAATAACTGTGAAGAACTTTGAAAATTAATTAAGTTTAATTAATTAATGTTCAGTTCAGTACCATCTGTTGAGTGCCTTTGCCAGGCACTTTGATGGGCGCTAGAAATAAAAAGATCCGAGACTCAACCCCTGCTTCCAAGTCCAGGCCAAAGCCACACACACAATCACAGCATCTTGGAGATAGGAGTCGAATAGTGTGCAGGTCTATTAGATCACAGAAAGGGGGGCTTCTTGGAAAAGAGGGTGTAAGTGTGAAATTTACACGAAAGAGTTGCGTACATTAGAAATATCAGTTCATATCGTAGTTGTGTTGCAACAGTTTCTCCAACCACTTAACATGGCTATCCTTTTCATATGAGGTAATCTCGTTTTCTTTCATAAACAAAACAAGAGACTGACCCTGAATAAATATGGGCTGACAATTATTTCTTTTTTTACCTAAAACGCCACCCCCTTTAAGCGAGCAACGATTTTGATAATTTTTTATTTTAATATAAAATATTAGATTTTCATGGGGAACGAACACAGACTTTTCCATAACAGTATCGGAACTAGGACAAATATATTGTCAAGCAGCATTTGGACGAGCTCAAACAGTGATTTGGTTCGCATTTCCACTTTCCTCTCTGATTTCTTTAAGATCGTAATGTCTAATCTATTTATTTAAGCATTTTGTTACGAGCCCCAACCCCACTTGCACAGCCGAAGCAGGGAATTGAAAGGGAATGTGCGAGTATTTTATGTTTCTGTTACATTTTCAGCAAGACTGAAAACTACTCATCAATTTTTTAACTTAACTTCCATCAAATCAGCCTGAAAGTTGGGACATTTTACGGATCTTTTCAGGTTGGAAAGGGAAAGCAAATTAACACAGGTTTATGACGGACTTTTATTTAAGTATTAATATTATGCGTTTATGTATACAAATATGAGTGCTCTAACAATTTAAGGGAGTATTCATCAGTGTCATTCGTAATGCAAAATAAATCCCTATTGACTTCATTTTGAACGCACGATAGAAACTCCTAAAAATAATCTCCTAGGCTGAATTGCGCGACGTAAAGAGATCGGCTTCGCACCCCGACTACAGTTCCCGGAATGCCCCGCGCGGGGCCCGCCCCCCAACCCCGGCACTTGATTAGCGGCCATTAGAACTACATCTCCCGGCGTGCCTTGGTCCCACGCGTGATTTACTAAAGAGAACTACAACTCCCGGCATGCGGCGGGTGGGGTGAGGGACGCCGGCGCCCAGCCTCCCACGCTTTCCGGAGTCAATCAAGTCTCACCCTGAAAAGGATGGAGGTGCCAGGGGACGCCCGGGCCCCGGAACCCGGCGAGAATCAGGGTCTGAAGCCGTGTCTGCTGCGCCGCAACCACAGCTGCGAACAGTACGGGGTGGCGGCCTCCTGCCTCGAGGATCTGAGGAGCAAGGGTTGGCACGGGACCGGGCGAGGCCTTGGGGGACCGGGGGCTTAGGGGAACCGGAGCCGGGTGAGGTTTTCGGGCGGAGGGGCAAAGCGGGATGAGGAGAGGCGACTTGGGGATTCTTATAGCTCCGGTGGAGCCTTGGGGCAGAAATGAGTCACGTGGGTATAGTGACTTACAAATTTCACAGTGTTTGCAAGTGTTTTAATATATCTCGTGTGGGACTCATAATGGTGGAAAAGTAGACGGGAAGCACTGTGCAGACTCTACTTGGGTACCTTGCCTAAAACCACTTAGATTTTGGACCAAACCCAACCCAGTGTATATTCCTGCTACTCGAGTTCTCTAAGGTGATAGTGAAGCCCTTAGCTGAGCCCATGGCGGGTGGGGCAGGTTTCCGCCGGCAGCTCTGGCAGGTACCTGTGCGGTAAAGAGGGAGCTGCTACCGACCCTTCTGGAGGTCCAGTCAAGAACCGTGTGTCGTGAGTGACGAGGTTAACAAATTCTGAGCCCCGGCTCGCTGATACTAGCTGCTTGACTTTGCGCTTAATCGTCTCTTAACCCTCAGTTTTCTCATAGGCAAAGTAGGTATACTATTTCCAGCCCTGCTTCCCAGGATTGTTGGGACTCTTAAGGGAGATGATAAATCCAGATGATTTACAAGTATTATTTGCCCATAACAATAAGTTGTTTATCCAAAGAAGTTTTACCTGCTAAACATGTGAGCGGGCCCCAGGCATGCAGTCAGTGTTCAGTGCTTTCTCTCGGAGACATCAAGCCCCAGCAGATATCAGAATCTTTCAGAAACCCAGGAGCAGCCAAAGCACTTATCAATGCTTTAGTGACATGGCTTTGCCAGATAGGTGTTTACATATTTTTTCTTGGCATTAGGGTAAAGTTTTAGTGTCCCTCGGTGCATTGCCTGATTGCACTTGGCACAGAGGCTTGTGTTCTCTGGAGCTAGGCCTATACAGGCTTGCGGTTCTATTTAAATGATAGATGACATTGCCCAAAGTTATTTGTAGTCTCTTGACTACTTCTCAGCTTACTCTAGTCCCCTTAGCATTTTAAGTATTGCTGTCACTAAATGGGATGGCACAGACCTGCCCTGGACAAAGCCTCTTGCCCAGTGATAATAAATATGAAAAGCTACTGATAGAAGCTGCAGCTTTTCTATAATTTTCCTATAAGTTATAAAGGCTGCAAAGAAAGATACTACAAAAGACAAAAAGCATTTCCTTTTTTTTCTACTTTTTTCTTTACATTTGACACAGAATTTGAGATGACCACTGAGTAAATGAAAGACTGCTTGTTTACAAGGAATCACATCAGACCTTGGTTTGTTGTTCATCCCAGTCAAGGCTCAAGTGCCTGCTAATATAGATGCAGAGTAGCTGTAGGAAACATATTTTCAAGAGCCAGACTGTATGGATGTAGATCCCAGCTCTTTCGCCTACTGTGTGATCTTGGACAAGTTACTTAACTTCTCTGAGCCTTGAGTTTGATGTCTGTAAAATGGGAAGAACAATAGTACCTACCTTATAGGATTGTTAGGAGATTAAATACTGTATATGAAAAGCACTTAGGACGGTACCAGGCACGTGCAAAGTGTGATATTAGTGCTAGTAGTTGTGGCTGTTATTGTAGTTACTATTACCTACCGGGAATTCCGCTAGGCTCTGAGAGTACAAGGATAGATGTAGTCACTTTATGGATACTTGTCAATTGTCAAATATTTTATTATTCTCAGCCTATGACATCTTGGCCATTGATAAGTCCCTGGCACCAGTCACCCTGGTCCTGGCAGAGGATGGCACCATAGTGGATGATGACGATTACTTTCTGTGTCTACCTTCCAATACTAAGTTTGTGGCATTGGCCAGTAACGAGAAGTGGGCATACCGAAACTCAGGTAAGAAATGCTCACCATGTATAAAATGATCTATGCAATACATAACATCCGTTATGATTCATTTTACTGCACAGGCACCTAGTTACCATTTGGCTGTTTAAGCATTTACGCAGCCAACGTTTACTGAGCACAGTCTCCATGCCAGGTGTGGTGCTAAGTCTACAGGTGAAGATGAGACATGGGTCCAATTGTCAGATAACTTACCGGCTGACAGCAACTAAAATGCAGCATGGCATTTATTAACCAATATCACCCCAATAGTTTTAATTAAAAAAAAAAACTAAAAAATAAAAATAAAATGCAGCATGGCAGAGAGATCAGTGCCCCAGGTGGAGTCACACCGCCCCATCTGAATCCTGGCTTTGTCATGTGACCTTGGCCAAACTCCCTACCTTCTCGGCATCTTATTGAGATGATTATGGTACCTGTCTCCTAGGGTTGTTGTTAGGATAACAGAACATAGTACACGTCAAACCAGTGTTTCTCAACAGTACTCTTGACGTTCTGGGCTGCAGCATTCTTTGTTGTGGGGCCGTCGTGTGCATCATAGGAAGTTTAGCAGTATCCCTGGCTTTTGCCCACTAGATGCCAGTAGCATCTCCTCACCCGGATCATGACAATCAAAAATGTCTCCAGAAATTGTCGAATGTCTCCTGGGGGCAAAATCACTCCCAGTTGAGAACCACTTATAGAAAGCATTTAGATCTTACCTAGCATACAGCAAGGGCTCACTAAATGTTACCTGTTACCATCATCACTGGCGATACAAAAGGAACTAATATTGATGAGCAAGGATCAAAAAGCTAAAGAAATGTCTTGAGGAAAGTCCATGCCACTAAATTGAGGAAGTCACCTTTCAGCAATGGCTGTATCAGCACCTTTGTACTCGGACCCTAGGGACAGCAAAGTGGCCACAGCTCCTCCAGTCAAGGCTAAGACCAATCCTCAAGCATAGAAGTGCTGGTGAGAATGTTTTTTGTGTACAAAAACAACGCACCCAGAGACCCAAAAACTAACCTAAAGGGAAGTGTGGTAGGACCCTGGGTGTCGTGACCACACACTGGGTTTAAGTAGCTTCTTTCCATTAAAGAATTGAGAGCAATTTCGTACAGAAATAAATCGAAGATGAAAGACGAGGGAAAATCAAGGTTCTAGATGGGGATCGGCTTTCCCATAAATCTTGAGAAAGGTGCTTCCTTCTCCACTGACGTTATTCTAAATGGGCAGAGACTGTGCAGACATCCCCGAGGCCTGTGCATGTTGGGAGCAGGTGAAAACAGTTCTTGAGGCTAATCTGACTGTGACTCATTTCCCCTTATATATCAGATGGAGGTACTGCTTGGATTTCCCAAGAGTCCTTCAGTGTAGACGAAACTGACAACGGGGCGGAGCCGAAGTGGAAGAATGTGGCCAGGCAGCTGAAGGACGATCTGTCCAGCATCATCCTCCTGTCAGAGGAGGACCTCCAGGTGAGCCCCCTCCACCACTCACAGCCACTCGTCTGGCCGCCGCTGCCCCTGACATCTTTCCAGTTTCTACACATCTTGCCACAACATGTTTATTAATTTTTAAATACTTCTTAGGTGACAACCAGCAGTCCTCACTTTCTAATTCTCTCACCTAGAATAGGAATCTTTCAGCCTTCACCTTGCATCAGAATCAGCCTGTGGAGCTTTGTAAAAATGCAGATACCCGGAAGCCGCCTACACCCACGCAGGCACACTGTGGGGCTTGTGCGGCCGGAGGATGTGGACTTACAGGAGCTGACTGAATCCCGGCCCCATCACTGTGACTGGGCCAGTGTCTTGGCTTCTCTGCTTGCGTTTCCTTTCCAGTACAGTTGAGATAAAAACGTGTTCATTCAAAAAAATTCATATTGAGCCCCCGCCCTACGTCTGGCATGGCTCTGTACACTGGGGGTAAACAAGGCAGACACAGCCCCTGCACTAATGGAACTGGGATTCTGATGCAAGGAGGCAGACAAAACAAGAAGCGAATCAGACAGGCAGTGTGCTGAGTGATGGGGCTACTTTAGATTGGGACATGAAGGGGATGACCTCTTGGTTATTTTGTAAACTTATCTACGTATTTTGAATAAATACCATGAATACATTCACGTTTAAAAATCCAAGAAGTATAGAAGGATATCCAGGTAGCCAAAAAGTAAAAACAGCCCAAATGTCCATCAGCTGATGAATAAATAAAATGTGATGCATCCATATACAGTGGATTATTCAGCCATAAAAAGGAATGAAGTATTAATACATGCTGCACCGTGGATAAACCTCAAAAGCATTATGCTAAGGGAAAGAAGCCAGACATGAAAGGTCACCTATTTTATGGTTGTATTTATAATGAAAAGGCCAGAATACACAGGTCTGTCGCGACAAAAACTAGATTAGTGGTTGCCTAGGGCTGGGTTGGTGGGGAAATTTGAGGAGAAATCGGAGTGCTTGCTGATAGGTATGGGGTTTCTTTTAGGATGGTGAGAACAGTCTAAAAAATTATGATGACTGCACAATTCTGTGAACATACTAAAACCCACTGAACTACGTACTTACTTTACATGGATGAATTGTGTGGTATGTAAATTATATCTCAATAAAGCTGCTTGTCGGGGGAGGGTATACAGGAAAGGCTGACTCCCAAGTTCCTCTTCCTGGGGACAACCAGTCTGTCAGTTTCCTGTTCCAGAGATATTTTATATACAAATACATATATTTTCTTCTCTTCCCCCCTTACATTACACAAATGGAAGCATATCTACTCTTGTTTTTCAAGCAATATTTGAAGAGTATTCCAGATCAGTATATAAGAGACAGCCTCATTCTTTTTTACCACTGCATAATATTCCATTTCATGCGTGTACCATGATTTATTTAACCAGTCTCCCCACTGGTAGACATTTGGGTTGTCATTAGTTTTGCTCTTCCAGACAGAACTTCCACCAGTGTCATTTTGCACACATGCTTGTCCATAGAATAAATTTATAAAAGTGTGTTGATAAACACTGGCAAGTTCCCCAAGAGGTGACAGTGTAACTGAGAGCTAAAGGATAAGACAGCCTGCCATGGAAAGGTTGGGGCCAGAGTGTTCCAGGGAGAAGGCAGGAGCAAGCTTGAGTTTTTCTTTCCTTTTTTAAGAAACAAAGGGGTTGTGAGATCCCTCCCCATCCCAACAGACTAACACATTATGATATATCCTTAGCATAAGGAGCACCATAGGCCTTACGAAAATGGGGACATCAGAATAGCAGTGAACCCGAGCCCTTGACAGCTAGGCTCCATAAGGAAGTTAGGATGCTTGAAGGGAACTCGTGGAGGCTGGCTGCAGCAGGTGAAGGAAAGGCACCACGGTGGCAGGGACTACGGGCAGTGAGAAAAATGGGAGGGAAGGACACAGGGATCAATTACCCAGGGTCCTGAAGACTGGAACAAAGGGTGACTCTGATTCTTGGGAAGTTACTAAACTCTCTTGCCTCATTTTCATCATCTGTAAAATGGGGTAATGCTAGAACCTAACTCATAAAGGTTTGTACATTTGAATTTTGAATCTTGTGAACGTATTAATATCACTTGTTCAAAAATTGATGCAATGTTAAAGTTAAAAATAACTTTAAAAGTCACCTACTCAAAGGGGCCTTCCTCAGTCTAGAGTAGCCCTCCCCGTCACTTTCTGTTCTAAGAGTTTTACATCCGTTTTCTCATTGGTACACAGTAAGTGCTCAAAAAATGCAAGCTCTTACTATTGTAGTTTTTATTAGCTCCATAGCTATTCTAATGTGCAACTGAATTTAGAATCACTGTCCAAGAATTTCAACAATTTGATCTTTCTCTTATAAAGACTATTTTAAAATCTAGTTACTATATATGCAAAAAGAATGAGTTTTAAAAATCATCCTTACAGCAGATTGATGATGCGAGGTCTCTCTTATGTCACAGACTAAAAATGTTATTTAAAAGCTTAGTACAGTTCATATTTTAAAGTCTTTTAAAGCTATGAACCTGTATAATAAAAATGTTTAAGGTTAAAATCATTAGAAAAAAATTGCTTAAAAGAACCTTGTATCGATTCATTGTGTAAATGATCATGCACTTGCTCCTTTATGTCCTGTACTAGTACAACTGGGTTTTTTAATATCAGGATTTCATTTAGTTTTTAATGAAGCACTAAGGTGTCATTTCTCAAGTTTTTTCACCAGAGGAAAACTGAAAAAAATTACATGTCTCTCTCTTGACTCTGAAGCAGCCATATTAAGTAACTTTGCAAAGCAGATGAAATGAGTCTCTGAAACTGATGTATTTGAGAGATATAATACATGTTTAGAAAGTACTGTGAGGTTTCCTAAAGTCCATATTTGTTTGTTAGATGCTCATTGATGTACCATGTTCAGACCTGGCTCAGGAACTATGCCAAAGCCGTGTCACAGTCCAGGGGCTCCAGAACACCCTCCAACAGGTCCTTGACCAGAGAGAGGAAGCCCGCCAGTCCAAGCAGCTCTTGGAGCTCTACCTCCAGGCCTTGGAAAAGGAGGGCAGGATCCTGTCACAGCAGCCAGGTAGGACTCCAGCTCAGAGGGCTCCACGGAGAACTCTTGTGTTTAGAACTGTCTGTGGGAGAGAACCAAGTGCTTGTAACATAGTCAAAACAGTGAAGCCACAGCTGGTGGCATTTTGCAATGACACGTTTCTGTCTTGCCCACCTGATTACTCTGGCTGGTTGTTTGTGCGGCTGTATGTGTATGCAGTGTGCTGACCTCCATCTCACGTCTGCTTTGCAGAGTCCAAAGCTGGCTTCAGTGATGAGACGGATGCAGCTGACACAGGTCTTAGCAGAGAGAGCTCCTCTGAAATTGCACTTTCGAGCCAGATCCTTACTGCACTGAAGGAGAAGCCTGCTCCGGAGCTGAGTTTGTCTAGTCAGGATTTAGAGGTGGGCAAGAACCAGGGACCCTGAACTTCAGAGAACGACCCCCCGTGGAGGTGAAGTAGCCCTGCAGAGGCACACTTGGGTTTTTCCACCTCCGCAGACCCTGAAGCTCAGCTACCATTTGCCTCTCGTATGCCAGAGCATTTGCAAACATCTTACTTAATCTAAATCAGTGGCTTAAACAAAATGGATGTCCTCCCTCAGATCATCAAACATTATTCTGTGATCCCAAACAGGTAATGCAATGACTAAACCTGACGGGGGGATAGCAGAGCTCAAGCTTCTGACCTCACCTCTGCTTCTGTCCATGGTTGAAGAAGATTCATAGTCGAGGCACATGAATGATCCCAGGGGAAGGCACACTTGAGGATCACTGTGCTGGCTTTTGAGATCAGGGAACTAGAAGCTCGATGGGGGAGAACCCATCACAGTGGGTGCTACTTCTTCGTCATCATCTTCATCCCTGTCCCAAGTACCTCCCCAATGTAGCTAGAAGGGAAGGAAACTGTATTGACTTGAACTTTGCTAAATTTCTTGTAAGTGGACTTGATAGTTGCTCCAAGTAAACTTCTTCCCAGAGATCCTTTCCTGTTGGTGTCGTATGGTAAGAAAAGGCCCATGACAGTCTAAGGCAGGAAACCTGGCATTTCAGCCTAAAGATGACATAAACTGATGTTGCCTAACCTCACCCCTATAAAGAAACCATGAGAGCAGCCGGTGACCAGGGCAGACGTACTGGTTCTCAGTGGTTCTTATTCTTGCCACAGTTGGTTACCAAGGAAGACCCCAAAGCGCTGGCTGTTGCTTTGAACTGGGACATAAAGAAGACGGAAACTGTCCAGCACGCCTGTAATCAGGAGCTGAGCCTGCGCCTCCAGCAGATACAGAGTTTGCATTCTCTCAGGAATATTTCAGCAAGGAGGAATTCACTGCCTGCAGAACTGCGGAGTCCCAAACGAGCCAAACGAGACCCCACGTAGCTAGAGCTGGAAATGTGGCACACAAAACCCTGTGGCCTTGGTTTTTGCTGTCAGTAAATCCCCGTCAGCCCTTTTAGCCACCCATAGTACTCCGCCCCTGCCTTAGAGCACATTCTCCTGGAGTAGGCTGGATACTGGCTTCCCCTTCCAGAAAAGCTATTCTAGATCTCAGTGTAAGCCCTTTCCCTATTTTGAATGATAAAGCACCCCCACCAATATCCCAGCTCCTCTAATTACATGCTCTTCTGCTCTCTGTTTAGAAGTAACTGTGAAAGGCAGTGAAAAGAAATTGTCATATCTCGGGCTGTCCTTGTTCAAAGATAAGAATGCAGAATTCAGCACGATGGTGGAGAAGGTGACAACAGCGTTTTGATTATGGCCACAAACTTGTTTCTCAAGTCAATGAACTTTTTTTGTCTGTCTGCTTAAAGGCACATGTTAAGTTTGCAGGCCACAGGGACGTATGGAGTCTTAATTCGCCATTTCTATTATCTAATTCAGTATTGTGAAATTACATCTGAAATGCTTTTCAGTTTCTAATATGTTTTATCAGCAGGGAGTATAAAAGGTCATTAAATCGATTTCCCTGCACTATGACTCCAAGTCTGTGGGTGCAAAGCGAGACTTCTGGTTTCTGTACCTCCTGTTTCTGTACAAACTTATTCTTCAGGTTTTGTAATCTATAATATAGTCTCCTTGCAGGGAAAAGATAATAGGTTTTCACTGACTTATTTGAAATTTTTTTTAAGCATGCTTAGAGGAAAATAGGATGTCTTAAGAGATAACATTGGCTACTTATTAAGAAATATAAGAGTAGGTCCTGGGGCAAGGGTGGGTGCAGGAAACAGTAACTGAACAAAAAGAACTGTTTCCTTCTCTGATCTTCAAGGAGGGCTCCGATGTGCTCAGCATCCTTTTACCAATGGTTCACACCCTTAGTTCTCAGTAGCCCCAACATTTCTGTTTTTTTCTAGCACATCTGTAATGCTTCCTCAATTATCCCTTAAATGAAAGCGGAGCTGATAACTTTCCTACATGCATACTTTGAAAAGCACTGACATAATATCTCAAATGTAATATTTAAGAAACAAGAGGAAAATAATCTCCAATAAAATGGCACATGTCTCAGTATGTCTGTCTGGACATGACTGTACCAGCGGCACCGTGAAGCTGTCAGATCCCTGTACTTACACACTGAACTTGAACTACCATAACATCTATCCTTTTTTTCACAGGGTAGCTGCATTCTTGAAAAATCCAGAGGACATTAAAACTAGGAAAAAATACTTCGCATTTCTATAAAAACAATTCAGTTTTAGGCTAAGAGAATTTGGAATAGGGTTTCATCGATATGAATGCTCAGCATGACATTCAAAAATCACATAGGACATGGACAATTCATTTCATGGAATTCCATGCGTTGTGGAAAGACACACATCCCACCTCCTACCCCCACCTGCTCCATTTCAGTAGCAACCTGCAGGTACTGAGATAACTAAAAGCATCCCCACACATTGTCAAAACGCCCCTGAAGGGGCAGCAACGGCAGCGGAGGATTTCTATAGCAGTTTTCAGTCAGCTATGTGCTAGCACCTGCCACACTGGCACCTCACAAAACTTAGTAAGGCAGGTGGTGGCTTGTCACCTTGTATTCTATACGTGAGCAGAGTTGTGCTCAGCAGGGTTCAGTGACTTGCCTCCTGTCATGAGGCTAACTGGGGGGCCAGGATGCAAAGGCAGGTCTTCTGGGTCTAACTCCAGTGCTTTTTTTCACTTGTATCTTCTTTTAGGTCCATACACTCTTCCATTCTACACCCAGACCACTGGTTTTGTTATCAGTGTCACAGGCTGGAGTCAGCTCCCCCTGGAAAGGCCTAATACGTCTGCAACATAATTGCCAAAAGATTTCTCACTACAGTCATTGTACTGGTGGAGTAAGAGGTCAGTCAGCCTCGGGAACACTGTAGTTAGCCAACAGTAACGGAAGCTACAGACCGCTATCTATTCACCAGTTATATCGACATCTCCATCTTTCCCCTACTGAATTAAAAATGTTTTCTTAAATTATTTCTCAAGTACACAGCTGACTTTAGTTGACTGGCCTAGCTGTTGGTATTGGTATTCTATACTTGAAACAAACTCAGCAAGCACCTCGGCTGCGTAGGATAACGGAAAGAGCACTGTGGGTTTGGAGTGAGACAAATCCATGCTGAGTCGAACCCTTTGGGATCTTAGTTTCCCAAAATGTAAGGTTAGGCTAAGCCCCCAAGACTGAAAGGGTTAAATGAAATGTGAGAAAGAGCACAGTACCCATTGCACTGCAGACCAGAGAGTGGTTCCCTTTCATTTCCCCAGGGGCACGGGGCAGAGAGGCGGTGGGAGGATCCTGTCTGTGGGTCTCTAGGGCAAAGACCTTAGTCTGCAAACTCCAGCCCACAAGTGTCATGAAAGCAGTTGCAAACAACATTATATTGCCCCTGGTAACCATTTACCTTCCCTCCATTATGCCTCCAGGCCTTCTGAAATAGCAACCTGGAAGCACAGCAATATATCTAAAAATAGGAGAGCGAGCAGGGCCTGCCTGTTCTTAGGGCAGGAAAAAAGAATGTCAAAGAAAGCAGTTGGGACTAATGAACTCTACATTAGCCATTTTCCGTTCTTTCAACTCAAGTCAAATGTCGGTCCCCATTAGGCAATTGGCTTTGACAGGAGCTGTGCTAATTACCACTTACCAACCTTTAATTCCTGGGTAAAAGCAAAAAGAAAAAAACTAATGGATTTTTCTTTTCCAGAGAGAAAGGAATAAAATAGTTGTCTGCCAAAAAAAAAAAAAAAACCTGAATTAATACAAGAATTATTAACATGCCTACTAACCAGATTGTTTGGCTGTTAATTTCCTAATTCTTTTTTTTTCTTGCCTTCGAGGTTTTTCAACATCTTATTTTATCTGTAGGGTTTTGCCTTACGTTATTTTGGTTGTCTTTTATTACTCGAGGTTATTCAGGACCTTGAAAGTGATCCAGTCTGAGCACCCAACCGCTGCCTAAGACCTCTGCACAGCTGCGGACTATTCCGTCCTGCTCGAAAGCCTCCAGTGAGGGGAACAGCCTCACCCCCCAAAATGTGCATCACATTTTCAGATTGCAGAACCTTAAAGCTGGCTATGTGCTCGAATCAAATCAGACACGTGCCTAACTACAAAGAAGTGAAGCAACAGGTTAATGCACAGATACGGGATTTTCTTCAATATTTTCCAATACCACATTGTAAAAACTAAAACCAAAAAGTCTAGCTTTTTCTCCAGCTTACAATTATTTTTATAAGACCAATATGTATTTCTGACTACTTACTACTTAATTATAAACGTAAAGGATAAATTAGTGTTCATTTTTCTTAGGGTTATGAGTAATGAATTAGTGGGTTGACCAGCTGCCCTTAGCCTCCAACTTTCTAGTCTAGAAACAATTTCCTTCTTTTTAACACCTAAATGACCTTCCTCTTCTGATCTGTTCAAAATGGAATCCGTATCTCTACTGAAGAAGCTACTACTGTTAAGATGCGGGTGATCCTTCCAGCACATGCTGGTAAAGCCAACTGCACCTTGTAAGTGTCACCCATGAGCTTGCTGGTCTGAGTCTCTTAAAGTCTGGGATGCTATGCTGTCAGCCCTGAAACATGAGTGGCATGAAGAGACTTCCGTCGAACGCTTATGTCACACCCAGTTCTTCCTCAGCAGCTAAGGCTCTAATCTGATGACCAATACTGGAAATAACGAAAGAGAATGAATTGGAAGTGGTCCAGGTGCTGACGTCCCAGGATCTACACATCTGACCATACTGAACCACAGAAAGGCAGACTTTACGTCTGCCAAAAACCTAATGGTAGCAAATTATCCTAATTTACTCATTTTACCCTAATTTACTAATCATGAGTGTATTAACCCAGCCTAACATGCGCTGATGCAGGTTAACATCTTATGAATTTCCCTGAACTGAGCCAGGCTTAGACTGGATGCACTGCCTGGCAGTCAGTCTCATTAGTTTGGCCTCATTATCCTTCAGATACTACTTAGTTCAAAGTTAAAATCCCAATCTTAAGGACTGTGTATGTATGACCCTAATTGAAACTGAAAAACAATGGTCATATTTTTCTTCTAGAAACAGCTTATAAGACAAAGTTCTGAAGGTTAGCTGGCTTTTCAGGAAAACACCTTCACCAGTGCGCTGACCCAGTTACTGTGTCTCTTAAAGCTGCTGTGTTTGGAGCTGTGGATGCCATTAGGGCTCTTCCATCACATTTTACTCTACTCAGCTAGTAATTATGAATATGAGCTCAGCTCTGTGGAAAACAGAACGGAACGGTCAGCAGTCATACTCCGTGAGTCTGCTCCCCTGGTGTCCAGAGAACACTACAGTGTCCTCCTGCCAGCCTTTGCCGGCTTTCCCAATATTACGCCTGACCCTCAGAAACTCTCCATAACTCCAGGTAGGAATCTCTGAGCTTTCAAGTTTAGCATCTAAAAATCTCACTCTGGATGTTTTCTTTGATTCAAGAATCATAAACATGTATAATCAAACAGGGATTTCGGTGCTGTGGGGGAGAATTAAAAATTTGATTAGGGTTTTGAAACTGAATGACTTATTTACTAACTTCACTTAAGCAGACCAAAATCCTGGTCCACATGTTGCTCGACAGTTGCTCTGTGTTAATTTCACAGAAAAGGAAGTCCCCCCCTCTACCCATCATTCACTGTCTGTGGGAAAGTACTGAGGAATGGGGGGAAGTATAACAATTATAGACATGATACCAATACACATGCACCTGTGTCTGAACAAAGCCCAGGTCCTGTGACGGGGACCCCGTACTGGAAGTTGAGGTAGGCAGGCGCCAGGCAGGGCAGCAGCAGTGCTCACTGTTTTTGGTTTGAAATAAACCTAAAGCTGTAATCCATGAAAAGAATTTTAACAAACCATTAACTTATTAAAGTTAGTATGGGTATTTTATAACAGCAGGTCCAAATGTAACCTTTATAAGCATGGCAGCATGTTATCTTGTTTAATAGCATGGTATTTGTTTTTAAATTAATATTAGCTAAAATTAAGAATAACCATTTTGTTCTTTTAGCACAGTGATAAAAAGTTGCTTTTAATATGAGGGAAATATTTTTTTTAATTAGACAATTTATATCAATGTAAACTGAAATGTTATTCTGAACTCTAAAATATGTAGCTTTTACTAGTCTAGATCGAAGGAAGACAAGGACAGAACTGCCAAGCACATACTGAGGGTGGAAGGAAAGCCTGTGGCTATATAATACAGCAAAACCCCCAAAACATTCACTTTGGGTTCCAGATTACTCAAGACACTCAGTATTGGGCGTTAGTGGAGTTTAAATCAAAAACACTTTTCAAATTACACAGGCGAGAGAAGACAACTACATAAAGCAAGCTCGGGGCTGCTTGACAGGCTTTATTCGGGTCATCATTACACTTCCCTGCCCGAGTCATCGTGGCTGGAGTTCTACTTGCAGGAGGAGAAGGTCTTCCAGAAGAAGTTCTTGCAGGGCGCTTTCTCTGGGCGCGGGGCCTGCTGAGGGGGCGGGCCTTCCTGCCTCTTGGACACCTCCCTGGCTGCCCCTACGAAGGGCACCGCATGGGCCTGGGAGGTCCACTTGTACCACTGAGCAAGGAAAGTCAACAGGCTGTTTTTCTGTATTTCTGCCACTTCCTGCATATGCTTTTTAAAAGAAGCAGAGAGCACAGGAAAGAAAAATCAACAATCTGGCTCAGCCAGCATTAAAAGACACATAATTCCTTCTTTAAAAATAGAGTGCTCCAAAACAATAAATCACGTTTCTATTTAAAGGATGAGAAAGCTAAGAAAACACCTTAACGAAATTGCTCTAATTAGAAAAAGGAAAAAGTTGAGGATTTTCAATCAAGGAAAGGAAGAAACTTGTTTTGCCCATTATGTTTGCCAAGGTCCTTAATTCGAAAGGTCAGGGGACCTTTCCCAGCTTAGTGACTGGCAACTAACAAGCCCCTGAGGTGAAATGAGCTAATTTAGCATGGTTTCCCCATCTCTGGTCTTACTCCTGGCTGTCCACAAATTGCTCTTTTTGAGACGTTATATTCTGGTCTTTCAAACTCCTTAGAAAGCTTCTAGGAGTAAGCTGATGATAAATGACTTGTCTGAAACTCATCTGGGTAATTTCAGAGAAAAATCCATTTTTAATGGTCAACTTTATGTACTCTTCCTGGAACTTTTTCAAAATGGAAGAAAATAAATCATCTCATGAAGTTACAAATTCTCACAATGAAAAATGTAATGACGTCAATTAACCTGAGCAAGTGAGAACGTACGCTGCGTATATAAATTAAGATTCTACTAGTACGTGTGACTAGTTCTGCCGTGGCAGCTCCACGATCACACTTTAATAGCCTGGTACTGTCACTCAGCATTTCAAAGACCACAGATGGCGATCACTAGCATGAAGGAGCCCCCTTCGAGTGTCAGAGCTTTCTAACAAACTTCCTAGGTCAGGCAACTGAGGATAAACGAGAAACAGCGGTCTGTAGGGACCGTGACAGGAACATATGGGGTTCAGCCCTGCAGCCTGTCCTACACACCCTCGGCCGTGCAGATGCTGGAGAGTCCACAGGCATGGCCAAATCGGCCAGAGAGACAGCCAGGAAGCGGGCTAGCATGCGGCCGAGGCAGGGACTACTCACCCCGCTGTCGTGCCCAGCGAGGCCACTCTCCAGGGGAAGGGCAGCGGTGGCCCCTAAGAGCAGCAGCAGCAGCAGCAGCAGCAGGCAGAGGGGCGGCGGCATCCTGCGGGCTGCCTGGCGCTTCGTGCCAGCTCTGTGGGTGCTCATCCTCCTTTGCAGCCCTGGAATCTCGGTTTTTGTGGACGCGGATCTCTTCTCTGGCGATTGGGGGGTAATTGTAGCTCAACCTGCAGCTGCTGCTTTGTGCGCGTACCTGTCTAAAGCCTGTCCCCCTCCCCTCACAGTGACGCATACGCCCAGCAATCAGTGCCCAAAAGCTTTCGGATGGGCTTAACCCCTTCATTAAAGCCGCAGGTCATGCCTGTGTTTACAGTGGATTTGCTCTTACTTTGCAATGCGAGCGCACTTGTTTCTGAAGAAGTTCCACTTCCTCATAATTAAGCCTATAGCAAGCAGGAAGCCCTGAAAACAAAACCGAGTGATTCAATGTAGCATAAATTTAGCCTTAGATGAGGAGCTTACAATCTGAAATTTTGCCCATAGAAAAGTATGACTGGATCTGTTATAGGCGGAGGAAACAAGGCAGTGAGGACTCAGGGAGCCGCTTACAGCTTCCCCTGGCTTCACCGGTAGCAGGCAAGGACGCCTCGAGTGATCGTACCCAGCAATACAGGCCAGACACTGGCCTCCTGCCCAGGCCTTCTCAAACTGTGCTGTGAGCCCGAACCGCTTTACTAAAATCGAGATTAAGCTAGATTTCCATGCGGCTCCTCCACGAGGAGCCGCCAAAGTTCCAAGATTCTAACGTGCGCCCGGGAGACGATGACACCGGAAGAGCCGGGCTCTTCAAACCGCTGCTGGCCACTCACCAGCGGGTCATAACTAGCGCTTTTTTGAATGAAACAGAAATCAGAGCGCAGTGCAGGGAGTGTGGATTGTTCCCGTGTGTCGGGAGCAAATGTTATTTCTTACTGAGTGGCTTGCACTTGACCGGCTCCTTCTGACGGCGGTGCCACTGCTGACAGGTGCTGACAGGTGCTGACTGGCGCTAACGGTCAAGTCCTCTGTGCCTCCGGGCTCTTCCTCGCAGGCCCCACTTTCAGAATCACACAAACACACACGCAGACTCTCTTCCCCCAACGAAGACAACTGGAAGAATCTGAAACGAGCAGCGCAAACCTACTAAAGGTGACCAGCACCCACGGCAAGGTTCCTAATGGAAGTGGAGCCACCGAAGAGCTGGCGGCTCCTTCCAGAAGTGAACGTCAGCATGCGCAGCTTCCTACAGCCCACCCCACGGCCCTTCGCTCGGGGAAGCTCAGCCTCGAATTTCATGTCATCAGACTTGTTGTTTGAGATCCCAGGCAAAAGCGCCACGGCCGAGGACCCGCGGCTCACACTGCGCGGTGCCGGGTCCTTTCTTCTTTGCCGACACACCTTTGCCTAAGATAATTCTCACAAATTAAAAACTCTGAGATGTATTTGCAGATGAGAAAGTCATGGCAGCCCAGCCAGCTTCCTACACCCTTTAGATACTGTGCAGATTTTATTCGACAGCCTCATTCAACATTCTCAGCACCTCGCATGTACAAAGGAGCCGCGCCATCCACCGACAACGCTGTGATGGCCTAGCTGAGGGCAGGAGACATACCCACAAATGAAAGAAAAGTACGTTTTCGGTGTCACAAGTGTGCCAAGGAGGGTTCTGTGCCGCAGGTTGGGGAAGGCTTCGTTTTACGTTATTACTGGCTGTTTTCAAGGAGGTGGCAACATACCTTAGTGCTTCAGGGTGAGGGCTCTAAACTAAAATCTTGGCATTGCCACTTAATTAATCTCTCTGGGGATAAGAACAGTACAGCCTATCTCGCAGAACTGTGGCAAGGGCCAGTAAGATCACGTAAAGCACCTCATACAGCAGAACGCACAGCAGGCATGCGTGTGAGGACTGTTCCTAAGTTGTCCTCAGCCCCCGCCCCAGCACAAAGACAAGCTCCCCACTCCAATCGCTGGAAACGCCAGGGCAGAGCCGAGGGACCCGAGCGAGGGCTGCTACTCATCCTACCCGCACATCATAGACACTGGGAACAAGAATTCACCAGGCACCTGCCGTGCCAGGCCCCACACAAGGCCCGAGGGGTCACATTCACCACCCCGAAGTCTGCCCTCAGGGTTTGACGCAAGAACATGTGTTTCTGAAAAGATGTACGATGGGAACTTGATTGAAAGGAATTCAGTACTGAATGATTTTGAAATACAAAGACTGCTTTGCTTATTCTAAAGAGCAGACTGAAGACCCAGATAGAAGTTAGAAGGTGAAGGCTCTCCTCTCTACACAGAAAAAACTTGTGATAATCAGTGTCCAATAGCGGAGAGGGCTCACTGTCCCCGGAGGTCAGCAGAGCCTGGGGACCCTCCATCAGGAATGCTGCAGAAGGGGTCCGACTTAGGGCGGAGATGCGCTAAATGGCCTCTAAGGGTTCCTCAGAGACTCTCCACTAAGGAGAGACTGGGCGAGCCCCGGTTAGCCCTTCTTGGACATTCAGGTTTTCAGGCACCGGCTCTATACGAGCCAGTGCAAACCTTTCCCACGGCCTTCCAGCTGCTGCGACGTGCAGAAGCGGATGCTTTCAAACATCCCTGGCTCATAATTTCAGTAATAAAACGTTAACAGATCTTTTATTTCAAGCTTTTTGATGAACAGGTATAATAAGGAAAACAACAAATAATATAAATGTAAATTGCCCCCAACTAAGTTACTAGGCCACCTTTATTTCAGACATCTGCTTCTTTATATAGTTAATCATCTGGTTATATGGTTAGTAGGTCTAGTGAAAGTTCAGGTGAGCTCCCAGGACTCTGAGGAAGCAAGTCCATGAAAAAGAGCCCTCTAGAAAAGAGATCCCCAACACCCAGGCTGCAGATCAGGTGTGGCTTGTCAGGAACCAAGCCGCACAGCAGGAGGTGAGCTGGCCAGAGAGCAAGTGAAGCATCATCACCTGTTATCTGCAGCCTCTCCCCAGCACTAGCTAGCATCACCGCCTCAGCTCCACCTCAGATGATCAGGCATTAGATTCTCATAGGAGCACCAGTCCCGACCCCATAAAGGTTGGAGAATGCTGCTCAAGAACACCTTTCTGCCAACTGTCACCAAAGATGGAACCGTAAAGGATGACTGACATCATCACGGACATTCCAGAGTAAACTAAACCCTAACTGGAACACGGAGTGGGGAAGAGGCAGCTTATGGGAACACAGGGAAAAGAACCAGCTGTTCCTTATGAAGTCTGACCCTGGGTTACAATCCCTAACAAAGGTTAGGACCACTCATCTAAAATACAAACAGGTCATACATAAATATGCCAAATAAATCCAAAGGTTAGATGAACACCAAGTCAACGGCCTCATCTGGCTAGAAAACTTCATGTCAAAATACCCATGCTACCCTCTACGCCCTCTAGTCCGACAGGACACTCATGGCACACACAGGTTCGCTATTTCGTGTCATTTGTATACTGAGTTTCTAGAGTCACAGAAATCTACAAAAATAAGACGCATTACAATGGTTCTACCCATTTCCTATTATTGTCACGTGTAACCTCGCTGTGAGGTGTTTTTAACCCTACCTCATCGATAAGAACACAAAGTTTCAGAAGGTTAGTTACTAAAGTGGAAAAACCAAGACGCACATCTAGATTGTCAACCTTTGGGAAGTCCACGTATCTAGTCTCTAAACTCTCCTTGATGAGTGTGAAGACAGCGTATCTGAAAATCAAACAGGAGCATACAGGTTTTTGGCTGGAATGTACTATGACGGTAGAAGGCTTTATGACTCCCTTTTCCTTCACTGATGTGTCACGCAAATGTTACAATTATTATCTGAGATCAAGTGATTAGTTATCCGCAGAAGCTGAAACTGAAGTGTGAACGCAATGCTTCACTATCACCACAGCTTACCATCTCCTTTGCAGAGTCAGACTCTGGGGTGTCTTTTGCTGATCATACTTGGGCATGGGGTATAAATTCTACCCAAAGGCGACCTTTTCCCTCTCGGCCCCTCTCAGATCAGCACCCCGAATGTACACACAGTCTCTACTGGTCCGCGGACCCCAGGGAGTCAGTTAACCTCAAGCTCCAGCCTGCCCACCAGTAACACGGGGATAATCAGACATACCCTAAACGAGCTGTGAAGACCCAGTGAGGTCCTACATGGGGCACCCAGAGCAGCCTGGCACTCAGAAAGGGCTCTGTACATGCCAGCCCAGTCTCTTCATCCCTTCTGACCCACTAGGGAAAAGGCACACCCTGGACCTCTAAGCAACCCCAAAGAGAAGACGGCAGAACTGGGGCTCCCAGAGGCATCATCTCAGAAACTAAAACAGAGAATGACGCTCTGAAAGGTTTGGAGCAGGAGGCCAGGTTTTCCTTCCACATAAAACAACTTCTCGGTAGAACCACAGCTTAATCACCAAATAGCCCAAGAAAAGTCACATCAACTCTGTTTCTGGAGAAAATCACCTTTATGAAGGAAAAAGGAAGATTTCCCAACATCTACCTTTTTACCTTGTGATCACAACTGACATGGTTTTAAAGCATTAATACTCAAAAGAACTATATATAGCATTATTTATCTTTCAGGAATCGTTAGCCTAAAAAATCATGTAAAAGAATAAAGAAATAAGTATAATTTTTGCTTGGAAAAAATCAATCATATTTAACTGTTAATACATTTTTACTAATTGCAATAGATATAATTTCCTACATATTACCATTCACACACAAGCCTTTTTTAGGGGCTTCAGGAAGACACGGTGGGTATTTTGTTTAAGAGTTTCCAGTTCTCTTTTTAAACTAGCTTTTGTCGTCAATGACACGGAGAACACAGCACAAAAGCCTCTTAGCCATTTTTTTTTTTTTTTAATCTCCACTTATCCTTTCAAAATTCCCTGTGTGGCAATATGTGTTTTGGTGGCTCTACCTGCTGAAGGCCACTTTTTCCAAACGGTGATAGAGTTTAAGTCTCACTTTCCTCTGCTGGCTCCACTGAATTTTTGTTTTCATCCTCTAACTTCTTTTTCTTCTTTGCTTTTCGGTCCAGGTTAAACTGAGCGATCTCTTCATTTTTCTCTGTGATGTATCTTAGCTACAAAAAAAATTAAAGAATTATATTTCAATCTGGTCGTAAAGCCATTTTATAAGCCTAGGGGCAAAAAAATCAATCTACACCCTCTTCCAACCACTCTAGCCCAAAGAATCTGGGTGGAAAAGCGTGGGTTACATTCTTTAGAGTTAAACAGAGCTTCGAATTTGTTTCTGGTAGAAGGAATCAGCTACGAAAGTCAACTCACGGCTACTCACATACCCTACTGAACAGGTAGGAGTTTCCTTAGTAATTAATGAATTAAAACTTGGAGCTTGCAGAAGGCATGCCAGTCACAAATGTATTCTACAAAGCACAAATATAGTTAACATCCCCCTAAATTTATCCAACTAAAATTGTTGAGG